GCACGGTTTCAAAAAAGTAGCATAGATGGGCCTTTTGAATCTGTCCAAGTAAAGGGCCCTTTTCAGGTCATCTTTATCTTTTTAGGACTCCAAAATCCATAAACATCAATTTTCCTTCACGCTTATCCCAGAGGGTTGTGCAAAAACAATCTTTTTAAATAATTTCAATTAACTTTCCTTTGCGATGTGCTGAACTTGACTCGTTAAGGGCCGTTTATTTTCCCACAGTGGTCTGAACGTCTGGTTTGTGTTCCTGGATTTATTTCCTGTTCTTTTGGTTTGTTGCAGCTTAAGAAACAAATCAAACATGTATTCTTGCTCATTTCTTTGTATTTATTATCAAAATGTTGACATTAAAAATTCCACAAACATCCTTAAATATGATTCATCAGAGGAGAACTTAAAGGTTGATTAGTAACCTGAACCGTAACCCAGGAAGTGATCGATGAAGGCGGCGGCTGCTCAGCGCCGACAGGAAGCGCCTTGCCGTCACGCTTCCTCCTAACGAACACCAGGGGCCTCATGCACGCACCAACATGACGCACCCCAGCAGGAACGTTAAAATGTGCAGAAAATCACACCAACTTTTCCCCCTGACTTGAAAACAGAACGGAAACCGGCCTGTGAGACGCGTCACAAACTGAGGCGTCAGAAGTTTTAACGTCATTCCTCAGTAGAAATATAAATCCTACTGTTTAAAAACACTTTTGCAGAAGATAGAGGATTAACTTAAGCTTTTTACTACAGTAAAAGTACCATTTTAAAACTACTTAAAGGTGTAGAGGAGGATTTTTGTGAATTTTTGAAAAGCCTTGCCCTCTTTAAAAAAAATGCACCACCCTCCTGAGAGAGAGAGTCTATTAAAGTTGTAGTGAAATCATATTTAAATGTCAAATCATTCTGGCTTAAAAATATATAAAATTACTCTTTAGAAAAGTTAGAAGTTAGAAATTTCTATTTAAAAATTGTCTTAAAAGCCAGTTAGTTCTACGTTAGTTCTAAATTCAGCCAATCATATATCAACGGTCATCTGTCAATCAAATCTTTTCGGTCATAGCATCTTGATTCATACGTCGCAGCTAATATACGCAATGATTCTTCGCAGAGTAGTGGTGACCGTTACAGGTGTTTAGTTGGAGAGCGAATTGTTGAGACCTATCAGGCTATAGTTTGCGGGTATAAGAGAGAGAGAGTGATTTATCTAGTGGCTAGACTGTGGGATTGTGTCTATGGTTTTTTTTTCGCGCTTTCTACACCAAACCAAGCTTCTGCCGCCCTGGCGTCCTCTTCCACAACATCTTCGTCCCCGCTTTCCTCCACTAAACAAAAAATG